ATTAAAAATTGTATTAACCATATTAGCCAATTTCATTATAGCAAAATAAATGCCTGAATTTCTGGGGTCTAGTAATCAAGCATCAAATCTACAAACCTTAGCCTGTTATCATTAGGCTAGTGTCATTACAATCGAATATACTATGTAATCTGTAAGCTACCACTGTGAGATTCATAAAAAAGTCATGTTTCTTTATCGAATTTTGAACAAATTCAATTCCATTCATCCATTCAATTTAATCTTGAGCAGTCCATTAAGGGCACTGTGATCACAATTGCTACTTCATAATGCAAACAATGTCATGAGGCAGTAAAAAAACCAGGGACATTTAGAGATGTAAAATTTATATTTCAGAGTCAACTAATTAAGAGAACTACTATTGATGCGTGCTTATGAATGAAAGCAATTACCATTTAGAGGTAAAGTATGTATTCTTATTACCAGAACTTCATTTATAAAACTTTAGGTCCTGGAACACCCCTCCCCCACCAATTAATTATTAGCTTATTATAAATACATACATATTTATAATATAATTTAACAATTATTGCTGAGGTATCGGAACACTGTTTCGATACATTCTGCTAGAAATCAAACCATGCTTATAACTACAAATAACCAAACTTGTGAAACATTTTGCATATTATTTTTTGGCATATTTTGACAGCTAATGAGGTGTTCCTTCACAGTATTTGCACAAGCTGACATATTAAACAGAGAACACAGGTCTCTGTGGTCAGCTCACCAAACATTCAGCCTAGGTGGTTTAACAGTTCATATACTCTAATGTATCACTAAAAATACAGGTCTTCAATACAAAGTTCTAAAGAGACCATCATAAAAAGCCTTTTAGTATATTGTATAATACTTTGATGTACAGTGAATGATCCATATCAAATTGGGGGAGCTGCAGCAACACCTACATTGATAGAAGAATATTCGTTGACTGAAAAACTTTTGAAGAGTTTAGGTGCCACACATATACACTTTTTACAATTCAAAACCCTACCTGAAAGATTAATAATGGTCCAACCCTATAGCCTAGATGGTGTGCATCACCATGTACGCATGTTAGTTGTGTAATTACCTGAGGTGGATACAGGGGCACAGGGGAAATATACTCCCAAAGCCAACAATGATTTGCAATTATATTCAATACCATATAAATAGGTATCATAACATTAAAACAGTATTCCCATTATGAATGTACTCTTATACTTAGTTTTATCTCAAGCTAACAATTAAAAAACTACTAAAGATGTTAATAAGATGTCTAAACTGAAATTTCAACTAAACAAAATTTACATAAAAATCGTACTTCCTATTAATATTTAGATTGCTTGATCTGTTCTCTCAACAGTTAAATTACTCAAGTTACAATCGAATGACTGGCCACTATATAGTTTTTTGACTAGTGTCATGGTTGTGATTAATGAAAAAGTTGTCTTGTTTTGTAAGATATGTTTTGAAAACATAATCCAGTGTTGGAGTGGTGGAAGTTCCAAATTATCCCTTCCAATTGGTAGACTAGAATTCACAATTCAGAGCTAGGTTTCTTACCTCTTGTCAATGTTGGCATCTCCTCTTTGAATCCAACATTGGCAAAAAAGCTATCCTACCACTGTAACTAGAATTCAATGAACTTGAATGACTTGAATCATTACAATTTAGACTATTTCATTATTACACCTAGTCAGGAACTTTTCAGACTGATTGCTTGCATCCTCATGACATGCAATGAAAGGTCAATGTGAAATATGAGAGTCCAACCTTACCCCACTAAAGATCTGCAATGGTGAAAGTCAGTGCTCTAAAAAGGTTACAGAACAGGGGGATGTTAGAATTTGTATTACAAATAAAACATTTGGATGAAGGAAAACATGTTGTCAATGGATGAAAATTAAGACCTATCGCATGGATCATGAAATCTGAATGTTCAACAGAAGCAACAGCACTGTGTCACTTATGCACTATTTGCAAAATCTGAACACACAAACTAATATTGAATAATTAGAAGTTAATAAATGGATATCATTTGAAGTAAATACAACTCTTCTATGACTAATTCGAATCACAATTAGAAGTTCATTCCAACCTCAAATTCCTGTAAAAAAAACAACAAAAAACTGCCTACCTTGTTTTTCAAAATTTATCTGTTTTTAAATAACTTAAGCATGATACATTTAAATTATATTTACATTCTGCAAAATGACAGCTCTCTCCAAAATTGCAACATCTTTTTGACATTAAAATTAAAATAAGGAAATCAGCAGTTAAAAGACAACAGTCTATGAAAGTAGACTAATATATGATCAATGTTTATTGTGGTAGAATTGCATAGAATGAGTTTTCTAAACTTTTCAGAGGAGTTAGCAGAGTGAACAGAGTTCACACAATGAACACTGCAATTTGAACTCTCTCCAACAGGGTGAAACTATACGGTGGCCAACACAAATCACTAATAATAGAATCAAAGTTCAAGTGTTCGCTTTAAATGCATGGGTTTTTAATTTGATGCACTACAGTAAGAGAAAAAGGACGTTTTTTTTCAGTTTCAATGAAAATCAATTATTTTCATTCCAAAACATACATTCCAGCACATATCTGCCCAGAACTTTGGAGAAAACAACTTAAAGTTTCTTGTTACTCAAGTGAGGCTAAATGTATGTCAACTTAACACGCCCTTAAATACATTATCTTCAAATCATGATGCCTTAATTGGAATGCAGGCAGGCATATGCAAAACTTCAGAGTCAACATTATCCCTAGAGCAACTACTTAAAAATAAAAGAGAAAGTATTAAAAGTAAAAGAGAAAGTCTTATTGTATTAGGAATTTACTTTAATTGCAACTACTTTTCTGCAAAACATTAATTAAAAATCTGAAGCTGAGACTTTAAGTTCTCCACCAAGAACTTAATACAAGTTGTTCTACTCTATAGTAAACAAATAATGAAGGGCACAGGTCTAGTTATTTCTTTGCCAATTTAACAAAAATAATATAATACACTAACATTCTCACCACATCAATTACATTTTGTGGAAGTCTCACAGGGCTGATGTAAGAAATGATGCTATACAGCAGAGATATTTGTTCTTCATATTGTGAAACTTAATCCTCATATGTCTCAAAACAAACATGTATAGATTGATATTAAGATAACACCTTCAAATATTTATTTATTTTTATCTGCATGTGTAGAATTAATGAATGTCTGAAATTAATATCACTAAATAAAAGTTAATAGTGAAAATTTCATATCAGACAATTTTGGCATAGGAATTTCTTATCAGAAACCCCAAATTTCATCAAATCTGCAAGAACTAATTTATCAGAAACTTTCACAAATAGAGCAGCAGTTAGCATATTGTTAATGAATAATTGCAATTTATACCAATCCAATGCAATTAATTATAAGGAGAGGATTAGATAGTTTAATTACTAGATTTAACCAACACTAGTATAATCATAATCTTCAGAAGTCTTTCAGATGAGAACACCTGCACCTGTTGTTTTCATGTACACTTATGTAATGAACACAATTTAAATACAAAGATCTAAAGAGTGCAAACACGACATTCTGATATCCGGTAGAGAGGAACATTATTCAAGGAGAAAAACTAAGAAAAAGTGAATGGAATCCCACAGAAATAAAACTAAAACAAAGGATAATCTAAAATGTTGCATCTCATCTAGAAAATTGAGACCGGATTCTTCTGTGCACCTTCTGAGTAGATTGAGAGATGAAGCAAGGGTAATATGATACATAACTAATAAATACAATATGAATGGTTGATCTGAAATTGCTTCAAATACATGCTGGAGTATATTGCCTTGTTCATCGATCACAACTTTTTTTATTCTCCATCATTTGTATAGAATAGTTGTGAAGGAAAAATATACCGCATTTATCCAAATAATTTTGTGGCAATTTTACATATGCAAATTAGGAGCCGAAAGAAAGAACCTGACAGAGCGATAAATTAGACTTTCATTTAACAAATATTAAGGATTTATTCAAATAACACATCTTAATTGGGCAGATGCAAATGCAATCCACAACCTAAGGACTGATTCCTGACCTCTAAAGCCATGCTCCCTAGGGCCTTAAAACCTAGTTTTGAAGGCCAGAGACTTTAAGGATTGTTTGGCTGCAAACTATAAAATGAGATCTTTGGGGAACTTCTAATACATTTTTGAGGGTTTGGTCCTGGCAACAGAGCCAATGCAGAATCCTAAATCTTACTAGAAAAATTTTCTTATTATATGAAAATGTGACAACTAGCTTCGGAAACATAAGTTATGAAGAATTTATTTTCATACATTCTCTTGAATTATTCAGTAGTCCAATTAAAATAAATCAACCACATTTAACAATTTCTATTTACCCATAGTTTTAGAAGACATTAGGGTTTGTGCAGCACCAGAAATTTTGAAAAATGTTTCAAAGGAAACCGTAATGACTGACAATGTCATTTTACATTGCTTTTAGGTTATTTCTTATAACCATTCATTCGTATAATGAAAAACTTCCGACACTTCAACTGCACATAACTATGTTCTCTGAAGAGAAGTAGCAAGAAAACAGGATTTGAGCAAAATATATACAAATAGAGAAATAAATCTCTTTAATAAATAACTTTCATGAAACTTTACTCCCGAAAATTGAAAGCTGCTGCTGCAAAAGAACCTGAACACTGCAAACTGATTTATCGAGTATTTTTCTGACTTTCAGAACACACTAATAAGTAATTTCTGAAATAGTTGTTATGAAGATGGTTCTGTATTAAATGTGCTGGGAAATGTTGACCTGCTGAACTCTTGAGAATATTATATCAAAGAAATGAGGTTTTTTTCTTTCACATTTCTTTAACACTTGAACTGACATCATCCTTAGTAAATTCAACTTACTTCATTTAATTAATTACAAGGCATTTTTAATTAATCAGGTGTCTAAACTAATTAACTCTCAGGTAAATAAAATATAAATTACCACTAACCTGGAGATTCACTTGTTCCTCAACAGTGACTGTTTCACCAGAACGCCATCGCTCCAATTCCAACTCCAGTTTATCCAATTTGCCTTTAAGGCGAGCCACCTTCTCCTTTTCCTTTTCATATCGCCTCTTCCATTCTTCAGCAGTAAGTTCTTCATTGACACAAACAACATTTGTAATGGTCTTTGCCCTACAAGAGAATGAATTTTCAGTTTGTAGGTTTGTGTGGCCATATTTATTCTCAAAATAAATATTTTAAGAGATCTTTACCGTCGCCCAAATTCAAGGGTTGATTTTGTTTCAGCTTCATTGAATGAAGCTGGGGAACAGCAAATAACAATGGTGGTACGTGCATTACCACCCAACGACTCTTGTAAAATTCGAGTAAGTTTTGAATCTCGGTATGGTATGTGCGTTTTATTACCATCTGATAATGCTGAGATGACATTACCAAGAGCAGATAAAGACTTATTGATATTTTTTGCTTCGTCCAATACTGTTCCTTCAGCACCAGTCTTGCTCACCTGGTGTTCAAATAAAGTAAATATTTACAAATAAATTAAGTAGTAACAAAATCTTTATATAGATAAATTCAATAAACAAAATCAAATAATAGAATTTTTACCTTTTCACTTCCAGCTAAATCTACCAAATACAGTTTCCCAGATAATTTTTTCTGGTTTTCTAAGTTCTCTTGTTTAACATTGATTAAGAACACACTATGAGATCGTGAACTGTGTTCATTCATATCTGAAAGAGATCAGTTCATGTAAATTGCTAGCATGTCATACAAAATTTCAATTACAAAAAAAATGTAAAGAAATTTGTTCTTTACTTGTAACGGCAATATGTCTGTTGGATTTTCCTTCTTCAATTACTTCAAATACTTCCTCTGGGCTAGAAACAAACCTCTCGGTTGCACCTTTCACAAAAGGCACTCTATTTTTGTCTTCATGGACACTTAAATTCACCTTTGAAACTGAAAAAGAACAAGACATGAAAATGACACACTTCCACTGTTTAAAATTCAGATATATCAAATATCCTGAGAAATTACTCACCATCCAGTAAATCTCTAATCTTGTCCATATAAATCTCAAAATATGATACTTTTATGTGAAATTCGAGATTTTCTTCCATAGCATAAATATGATTGAAAATGTCATTAACAATACGTGGAATAATGCCTTGCTTTACGGAATCTCCTATGACACCTTCCATTGTGTGCGTTTTGCCAGATGAGGTTTGACCATATGCAAAGATTGTGCCATTGAATCCCGAAAGGACATCTGTTAACAAAATATACATCATAACAAAAATGTTATCAAGTTATTTCAATTGACTTTTATAATATTTTTCTTTACTCCCTCCAGATCATTTCCATTACCAAAACAAAAAAAAATACAATCAGGTCCACAAAAAATAAAGCCTGTTAGAGTAGTGATAAAACCTACCTGTGACAATTGATTTTGCAGCTTCATTATAAACTTTGTCTTGAGTTGCATTTGGTTTAAATACTTTGTCAAACATAAAAAGTTTCCCCTGAAAAATGGAGATAGAAATTTTGTCAGTTATCACTCTTGCTCTACTTTTGTATCCTTTAATAAGACGACAGTAAAAATAAACAATAAGATAAGGCAACTTAATAGTTGTAGCTTGACAGATTGGAGCTCAATCTCTTAGATATTACCACACAATCAATGGACTACTGTCATCACAATCACTTCAGAAAGGAAATTACTATTGCTTACTTATGCCACCCATAGTATGACATATGCAACAGACTTCCTGGCAACAGGAAGGGAATTTCAAATTTGAACCATGATGAATATGCTTGTGAATACAATAGTCTGTTACGAAAATGAGGACGATTCGTAAAGTAGATTAAAGACCTTGGAAACAACATAACATTTGTCAGGTGCCAAGCACCAAAACAAATTTTCTTTTTGTGTCGCAAGCACATGATCTATCTATTTAAAAGGAATATCAAGATGTGTAAATTATATAATAAGTCACTGTTAATGTGTTTGGAAATGTCAAACTAAGCCAAATGAGTAGCACTCCAAATAGCACCCAACTTCCAGATAGTTTTTCCTTCCGCTAATGTTAAAATAAGCAGGAAAAGGGAGACCAAAATGCTGTTTTAATACAATTTACATTCGAACAAATGGTTATTTCCGAAAAAGTTAAATCTAGACGTTATCGATTTTTTGCTAACTTGCAGCGCATTTAGGACGTTACAGAATTACTCATGAGTGCATTGGATTCACGATAAGCATGCAATATTTTGTGAATCTGCTGCTCTAAATGGTAATTTTATTAATTTGGTGCGAATCAAAAACTGAAAAAGCGACTCTCGTGAAAAGTTTGACCGCTTCCAGGACGCAGGACAGAGGTCGATCATCCGTCATGGCCAAAAATACTGTTTCCGTCATGGGACTTTCCTTAAATAAAAGAAAATGCTACAGCATAAAAAGAAAGTAGCACATAAAATGTACTTACCCCGATGTATACATGGTCATCTTTATCTCCAAACCTACAAATAAATTTTGATCCAGCTCTTTCTTCAGAGTCATTTAAAGGCCTAAATCGACACACCACTTTAATGCTGTCTTCAGCAGCTATTTCACGTTCACGTTGTTCTGCCGACATCTTGATGACGGTTAAAAAATAGTATCGCGAAACTCTACTGCAAGTCGGAACGTAAAACCGTGCGCAAGTTACATTAATAAATTCGTTAAAATCTCCATCTATGCAGTTGACAACCTAACCCAAGATGGCTTCCATTTTCAATATGCAAGGAGGCCGCTCCGTGTGGAACAGCTGACCGGATAGTCTCCGTTAAAAATCCGCATGAAAACACAAATATGTACACTATGAAACAATTAGACTGCTAAACACTTCTATAATATATACACTACTGAAGAGGAGACACTACAGGGTATGAAGAGGACGAGCTAAAATTCGTGTAAACTGAAATCAGCCCACACTAGCGCACCGCGACTCGTGCAGGCTGATGGGAAACAAGCAGTGTGACGTCATCCTCCACAAAGCCATGCGCGGTACCTATTGATCCTGGTGGGGAGGGGGTCATCCTAGCTCTGTCTCGAGTCTGGAGAGGGTTGACTCACTGCAATTTTGGGGTCAACCGGCTTTGGGTTGCCCTCGGAAATTTCTCCTTAAAATAGATAAACATGACTAAGTTCTGCTTGCGAAAGTTGTGTTTGCAAATTATTTAATGAAAAAGCAAATAAGTTTGAGGAAGATAACGAAATTGGAAATACTGGGTGAAATAAATATTGTAATACTTGTATATAAATATTTCCACCTTACAAGTAATGCATCTGCCATGGACTCTCCCATTAGGCCCCTTTTTTTCTAATTCAACTAAAGATACGTTTCAAAAATACAATCAATTTTCATTTTCTGAAATGAAGCGTGAACGTTAATATTAAGGCCAGAGAAAGGGAGACGCAAGTAGTAATCAAAATAAACAAATTAAAAAAAAAAAAAAGAAAATCATAAATATATTTTTAAATTGAAAAACAAGTGGAATGTACGGTACAAGCCATTTCGAAACTTGCACATGGCAGCAAGAGGAGAGAATGAATGCTCTTGATGTCCCTTTTGAATTCTCAAAAAAAAAATTCGTGTTGGCAAAACCACGGGTGCAATAACGCGGCTTAATTCTTTTTATTTATAAATTAATTTAAAAAAAGAAGTGAAGTATACTAGAAGTGAAGATGCCATTGGACGTTCTCTACTGTTAATATTCAAACTATCTTTGTGATTCTTTTCACTCCGAAGTAAATTAGTTTGATCCCGTTTATATTTATTAACATTCGGGCGCGACCTTCATTGCCAACAAATGTGTAAATAAATAATAGAATGTAAAAGTATGGAGTAAATATTAAATGTGTTGTTATTTTAGTGTAATTTAAATAGTTTTATGATTCACGTTTCAGAATGTAATTGAAAGTTCATAATTTATTTAATTTGTATTATTATTATTATTATTATTATTATTATTATTATAAGTAAGAAATCAAACGTAGAGTAGATTGTGCTATTGTCTGATAAATATTATCTTAGTACATCACCTATCAGGTTTGTTATTCAATACAGAAGACATTTTTTAGATTTGGAGTTGATTATGAATCACAGGCCAATTCTTTCCTACCAATAACAGATTCTTGTCTACAATAAGGTAACTCGGCCAGTCTCGCTCAGGTCGCAAAAACTCTGCAAGGAGCAAGGCTACGGTTCGCAGACCGGACGCTGCCTTTCCTTTTCGTTGCACGGCTTTCTCGTTCTTTCCTTAGCTAAGAAGCCACGTAGCCAAGCCCAAGAACGAAGTTCATTACGCCCGGCTCCCGCTTGCCGATAAGTGTGAAGAATAGAACACGGAATGGAAACCTCCCTACCGATGTCCCTGACGCGTGAATGCCCTTTTCGCGCGTTCAAAGGGCACGATTGCACAATCAACAAGACTGTCACAAAACGCCCGCTGTCCAATCGGATAGCGCGATCACGACAAAGAACAGAAGAAAGGCCGTGCGGTATTCAGAGTGAAAAAAGAACGGGCATGTAGGCGATGCAAGGCCATCTGCGATGAGAGCTCGAAAAAACGGCGAGCAATCCGTTGGAGATGCTGACGAGATGAAGGGAACCTCGGAGCGAGTGACTCATGCAGCGAGTTCTGCAGAAAGAGCTCGCTTACGTAATTGCGACACATCACAACTTTATATGTGCTTCGACTGTGCACGCTAGTGTAAACCGCGTCCAAATCCAGGCATAAGCCAAAAAATTAAAAATAAAAGCCAATTTGAGAAGCTTCAAATAACTACATACTAAATTGTGCATGAGCCACACACAACTAGTTTGCCAACACTGTAACTAGTTTAAATAAATTTAATAACCGATTTAAAAAACACACACAACTTCACAGGGAAATTAATATATAATTTAATTCCCAATTTCCGTTGATATCAGCTAACTCGATATGTCTGTTTTAAAATGGCGCCCGTTAAAAATTTATTATATTACACGTAGTATGAAAATGATAATATTTTCCGCTACTACAATTGTGACACTAAAAAAGTCTCACATATCATTAGCATTCAAACATTTTTAGCATTTAATTTTTTTTGCTGTAAATCCGTAATTGAGGAGCAACTAATCAAAACGCAAATTGTCCACTAGTGTAAAAAAATGAGTTGGATATGAAATCGTGTAATTTTTTTACACGTTCTACACGTACCTGCTTTCAGATTTCTTCAAAATGCATTAAATTGAATGCGTTTCGAAGAAATATGAAAGTAGGAAGTATAGAACGTATTAAAAACTACAAGATTTCGCGTCAAACTCAACATTTTCCCACCAGTGGACAATACGCGTGTTGATTAGTCGTTCCCCACCTGGATTTCTTTTCAATGGGCACGTATAGAACGTATTAAAAACTACAAGATTTCGCGTCAAACTCAACTTTTTCCACCAGTAGGCAATACGCGTGTTGATTTGTCGCTCCTCAATTGTATTTCTTGTTAACGAGCACGCCTACGCCCACTGTGCGGTTTAGTGCGGCGCCGCGCGCGGCGGGGTGGGCGCGCCGAGGAAACGCGTAGGCTCGGGGCGTGCGTGGGATCGCGCGACAGAGGAGCAGCGGGCGTGACGGGACGCGCCGCTCCGCGCGCCGCAACCCGCAGATGGGGCCGATAAGATAGACGCCGTGTGGCTAGAGCACGCGCCCGCGGCCGCACCTGCTCCGCGGACGAGTTAAGAGGCGGGGCCGCCTCGCATTGTTTTGCCCAGCCGCCTCCTTTCGCTCCACCTCCGTGGTGCTCACCCCAATTGTTAACCCCTGCACCCAGTAAAGTTTAGAATATCACACTCCGTGGGGTGAGATCAACCGCGCTTCCAGCGCGACAAGGGAGCGTCACGAAACGTCATTGCGCCACGATTCGTTCATGGAATCTGAGGTCTAAATCAAAAACAATGCCTTTGGTCCACCGGTCTGGTACATTTATGCGCTGGAGTCCCCCGAACCTTGGAAAGTAGAATCATTTTTTCGTTATGTCTTGTATGAAACGTTGGTGCTTTTTGGATAAATAGCAATGGTCCAATAGATCTTGTTCTTCCACCTGTCCTCACACATACTGCAAATCTGCAGGAGGTAGCTACATCAAAATAAAATACTTTTTAATAGTCAAAATAGTCATGTCGATTTGTGGCAAGTAAAGAGCAAATTGAAGTTTGTGCTAAACATAGTAAGCAATATGGTCTGCCACTGGTCTGACGGCACGGGGATGCTCAGTTGATGTCGGAAATTAAGAAATTCTGGTCATTTGGGATGACAGGAAAAATGACATGGACTCAATATGTTAGGTGCTCTACATATTTTGTGTCTTCTTATTGAAGTATATTAAGGTCTAATAATTTACCTCCCCCAAAAATTTTCTGACCACACTGTAGTTGAATATTATTACACATGTCTTCCGGTACACTGTCCTCCTTACTAAAAGACGAGAGGACAAACTATTGACCAACGGCCTTTGTCTATAGCAGGGTGTGAATTAACGTGGGGTGGGAGAGGGCATCCTCTCTAGAAAAGTTCAATGTTCCCAGCTGGAAAAGTATTAATTTGTCCCTGCGTGAGACAATCCACATCAAAGAGCCTCATTTTTAATTTCCGCACTTTGAAATGTTTAAATTATGGAAACGGAATCCAAATCAATGAAATTGGAAAAGAAAACTTTCCCAAGATCAGTCTCAGGTTTCATTCAGTGCTACGTGTGCCAAGATCAGCTACGTTTTACTCGTCAATTTATCGATTACCTAACCTCTTCAATCTTTATCGATAATATGAACTATTGTACATTCTAATGCATGTCACTGAAACTTGATGAATAACATGTAAAAGAAATTGCATTGAGAAATTATAATTACTAGTTGGACCCGTGCGAACATTACGCACACTGTAAACAATTGTTTGAAAATTGAAAAAAGCTTCCTATTGTAATACCCTTTGAGCGGTCAGGGCCTGCACTGTGCATGACTTCAAGAAGAGGTCCGGTACAATACGCACATTTTAATATTGCTAAGGGTTTAGTAAAAAACAAAACTATTTACAAAAACAGACATATGCGAATATATTGTACAGAAAATGAAACAATTTCATTTTACATAGATTTCTGACCAACCATAGATTCCACGCCTGCGGTGCCCAGAAAATCTAAACCTCCAATTTTGTAATATAAGGATCAAAAATGTTTCATTTTGTAGTTTGAAAAGAACTTGGTTGGTTTACCAATGGGGATATGAAATCCTGGTTTTAAGACCGTAGGTCGCATTGTTTACGATAACGTCAAAGAATAAGTTGGGAATTGTATGTGCTTCTATTTATTTCGTCAATTCTTTATTGTTTTAGGCATATCTGGGTCATTTTCCTATCCATCAGAAATACATTTATGGATTGTGTTGTTGGCCTCTTATAAATAGTATAACGATGCCACTTTTCCTTAGAATATAGGATAGAGATTCATAGAAAGGGTAGAATTCATAGAAAGATTTTTCGGTGAATCAATGTTTCTAGCATCTCTGATCTACCTAAATTAATGCAACATACACTTGGGATGGGGCGTAATTGAGCTTTTCTCTCGACTTTCCCGTGTTCTACTCTCACTCTCACACATCCAGGAGCAAGTCATTGCGAAATTGTTCTTAATAAGTGCGTATTTCATAATAATGGGGAAAAGTAGGTTGTCTTGTTTTGAAGCGCTGAATTCTGATATTGGACATTTATTCGAAATTCGATCAATATTTTTTACCATAAATTATTCAATTATCGTTATTTCCACACAAGAACACACAACATATTACACGTTTTTAAAAATCAATCTGATCACTATTCAAATGGAAAACAATATTACTTCCATCAGTTTTATAATTTTAGCATTGGGCAGTTCTTCAAGTGTAGAAGTACCACTTCACAGAGCGCATTCAGAAACGTCGCCGAAACTACTTCGTCTAAAAATCCGAATGTATTCGTTTCCAGGATATCTAAA